TACTAATATGTGACAAGGACGATGATCTATGGTCATTATGAGGCACACAATTTTCAAACCACTGTCTTCTTATGCTTCCACATTTTTAGCAACAAGCCATTAAGAGGCGACTAGGCCAGTAATGGGAACACAAGTCACACGGAAGAACATGATGTATTTAAATTTATTTATTTTTTTCAGTTACCCAGCATGCCAAAATCTGATTGCTGACCTGGATGAAACAATTATTTACAAAGAGAGATTTACAGATGTCTCTTTCAATACACCACAACCTGCCCTGACCTCCCAGTGCGTGCTGCAGCAGACTGTGGGCGTCTAGCCCACCTGGTCCCCGGCTGCGGCCACACTACCTACAACAGGGCTGGAGCTGACGCTGGACGTTCAGTGACGTGTTATCTCTTTGTGGATGTTTTCAGAAATGATTTGCAGGTTATGATACTTTTAAAATCTCATTTGTATGCTATTATACATAATAATTTCAATAAATGAATTTTTTAAAGATGAATTACGTTGGTTTTTAACCTTGTAGTGATAAGCAACAAAACACACCAAAAAAGGCACATAGTTTATTCAGGTCAAAGTGTAGTAAGAACCAAATCAACTTTTTTTCCTGCCTAAATGAATGAATTTCTTTAATAAGGATCAGCACACCTGGTTTCTGTGAGAGGAGGGTTAAAGGTGTCCCAACTGTCCAACTTCTCCAAACTGCTGTATCACTCACTCCGCTCATCTCTAACACCAACTACGCCGCTCCCTCAGTACCCTCCCTCCAGTCCTTGGGCGCCATCATTCACGGCAATGTGTCACAAAACTCATGAACTGTATTTTTAATTAACTGGTTACTAGGGACGTCACAGTACAGCTCAGGATACAATTCTTGATCAGGGCAGCTGCTGCTTTACTTTTGCTGCTGGACCCTCCTGCTTAAGGCCGTCTCAGGCAGATGTTACAATTCTTAACTGCGTGAGTCAAGAAGCCCCTCCACATCGTTTTGTGCCCACCTCCTGGTTCCTGTCTTCCCCTTGCATCTTTTGCTGTCTTCGTGTTACAGCCCCTCCCTACCTTCCTTTAAGCCTAGTGGGATCACAAAACTGACCATGCCTCTTGTTAGGGTTCCATACACGTTTATTCATATGGTCCCATCCCCCAAAGGGGTTTCATGCACCTTATTTGCCTTAGCAGCAAACTGTCCAGTGTCCTTGGTAGGCCGTTTGCACCCTATTTGCATCCTGATGCGGTGCTTTAGGTTATTGTGCTGGACTACAAAGTTGGTTTGAACTGCAAACTCATCAGCCGCTCCTTGGAAACCCTCTACAAACCCTACATGAGTTGAAGAGTTGGAACCGACTTGATGGCACTTAAGAACAAGCCCCCAGTCACTGTGTGGGAGTCACAAAGACGATTGCTTAGAAGGGCTGTACTCACTATACCTTGCTGCCATTCATTTTGCTTTTCCTCCTGTTAATTTATCATCCTTCAATTTGATTTGCTTTTAATCAACATCCCGCAAGACTCCACTGCTCTTTATTATCCTACGAGAAAGTGCACAATAAGGAGATACCAGGAAGCACTAGGCATTATTCCCTGTTCCATTATCAAAAAAAGAAAAAAAAAAGTACTTTGGGCTCACTTGTATTAGATTTCTTCTTCAATATGCAGTATTTGAGAAGAGCCTAAAAACCTGTACTTAATGAAATTAGAAAATTTAACTGAAGAATATATCAAAGATCTGTATACATATATTTCTACTATACATAGTAAATCCCACAAGTGCTGTTAAGTAATAAAAGCAGACACCGACAATGTGTTGTCTCTGCGAATGGCAGGACAGCACCCAAGGCGAGGCCGCTGTGAGAGCGTGTCACTGGCTGCGGTCAGTACCATCACCATCATCAGTAGGATTATTTCGACAGATCCGATGTTACCATATGCTCAGCCTGGCCCCTCAAACTCCATGTGGCTTAGGCTCGGGAGGCAGTGGCGTGATAAACAGAGCCCACTTGAGTCTGGAGAGCATGGAAAAGGGTCAAGCCTGAAACAGTAGAACTTCTATTCAGACTCAGACATTTTTTACTTCATCAAATGTGCTAGACATAAAGACTGTCACAGAAGATATTTTAAATGCCCTTAATTCTACTTTAGAAACACCATGAATAAATTACACAATATTTTAAAAATAGCACCATTAAAAGAATTATAGAGGTCACGTTACATTAGCCTCCTGGAACTGTCCACCCCAGTGGTTCTGAGAGAGGAACAAATGAAGAATGCCCTCAGATCTGGCACATGCCTGACTAACTCTGGTCCCCAAAGCGATTACTTCATCTGCCTTAGTCACAGGAGTGAAGCCAAGTTTCTAAAATAGTAGGTTACATCGGTATATGAGGTAAAATCAGAAAAAGTCCCCATCCAAAAGGATTCTAGTCCACTCTCCTTACCTGTCTAATTCCCATGTCTAAGTCTGATAATTTACCATGAAATAAAAAAAAACCAAACGCTATTAAGGAAGTGTGTAGATCAGTTCCTTATCAGGAAGACATGATTGATGCCCTACACTCCCTAAGAATTCTGGTTAAGGTGATTTGATGTGAGGATTATTACTTCCAAGGATACCTCTTCACTCCCTAGCTTCATAGACAATCTATCCAAAAGCCAGTGTAGAGAGGTTGGGAAGTCGCCCTTGATGATCAAAACGTGTACCACCACACTAGTGGCAACTGCACTGAAGTGATAATCCTGTGAGTGTACATAGTTTCCTATCTCAGCTTACAGAGGTTAGGTTAATACCAGGTGGAGTTAAGAACATTCTTTTCAGTAAAGAATAGAATTTACTTTTCTGTTATTACAGAACCACGTCCAACAACAATAAACAGAGAAATAGCAGATTGACATAGTGCTTTATTTCAGCTGTCTGTACGAAGGAAAATAATGTGCATCCCTATCATATACGTGTAAAAATACTAAGGATGTACAGTGTACAAAAAACAGTTTCTTGTAGTTAATTCACATCCTTGTGGGTCATATACTTAAGGAAATAAACAATTTTAGTATGACCAACGGTAAAAGTAATACAGATTCTTGGGTTCATAGTTGCATCTGCTTAAAATCCTTAACCAGATGACTAGATCTTGCACGGATCCTAATGAAAGAACTAGCAAGGTCAAGAAATGTCACAAACTATAAAGCTACAGAGAGGTAACTCAATTACCAATTTAGAGGATTTCTTTTTATTTAAATAAATACTTTACATTTCATGCTTGCCTGTAGTGCACTACCAGGATGAAGATAAGGAAATTCTACTGTAGACAGTACAAACAGTAGCAGCAAAGTGTGTACGTTGAGGTGTAATATATAGACCCTGCAGTTAGTAAGGAAGGACCTTACCTTTTGTACTCTAGGAGAAGCAAGTGGCCCCTGCAAGAACAGTCAGCTTGAAGAAGCTGGATATCAGCTATGGTAAATGGAAAACAATACTGGAATAACGCTACGTAATTAGTGTAGAAAGCAAAGCTGTGAGCAACCCTTGCTGAAAATCCAAGCAGAAATGGCCAGTTCCCCCAAGACGGCTGTGTGACTACAAGAGGGTGAACTTAACAAACGTTAGGACAAGCTGGAGTCCACATTCTGATGGAATGATTCCAGGCTTCAGGCCTTTCCACCTTCCATAATCCACAACTACAGTTAGGGGCAAATACAAGGGAACTTTTCCAAAATCTTCCTCCCTCTACACATATTATAGTTTTTCTATTATTCCTTCACAATGGCCGATTGAGATCTGAGAGTGAAAGTAAGGGAGTCTCAGAATCTAAGTCAAGTGAGCACGGTGTGGTGCTCACAGCTCTTTGAAGGGACAAGTTCCTGAATCCGGGGCATTAGCTGGGGATTGAGAGCCAGTGAGGAGTGGCCAGCCTGGGACCCTATCGGTGCCAGTCCTTAATCTTTAGGAAGGTGTCCTTCGCCGGGGTCATGGAATCACCCTAAGACTTAAAAACCAAAACCAAACAAAACAAAAACCCAGCTCTGTGCTCAGTGTTCCACTTTCCCTGCAGGGGAACCAATGCTCCATCAGCCAGTCTCAGCTCTCCTGTCATCCTCTGACCTCTTTCTTGTATTATAGATGCAAAACAACTTACAGGACACCCCTTCTAGTCTACTTTCTTGTGAAATAGTCAACATAATCCCAAATTTCAAGAAAAAAAAAAAAGAAGTTGAGCTGTATGTGTAAGCGTGAACTATCACTTACTGAAACTTCTCACTCAATATTAAGGATGAACTTCACTCAGATAAAAATATGAAAAATCAGGACAAAATCTATGTCGGAATATGTCTTAGCTGCCTTAATAAAATGCCCTTTAATCCCCGTCAGTCCCAGTGGCCCGCCCACCGCCAGCAGTGGCTTCTTATCGATAAATCCACACTTCCAGCATCAAGAGGCTAAGACATCTGCATATGAATATGATTCATCCTACTTTAAAAGTCACTTGCTCTTTCCTACAATGCAATCCTAATAGTCTGCAATGCTGTAGTCTTCCATTTTGGGAGCTGTCAGATAGTTTAACTAAAATACATTTCCATGATCACTCCAGGGAGTCCAAGTTGCCACCTGCTTGCTGCAAGAATGGCCCCCCAGCCCCGTGGACTTCATAGGCTGCTTTGGAAAATGTCAGCTCCTAGCACCAAAGGGTTTAATCTGAAGATCATCATTAATGAAGGAGAAGAAAGATGAGGTTTGCATACATGTCCCCATTCAGTGAGAAATGTTGGAGCTGGGGAACATGAGTATATACAGAAAAAGAAAAAGCTGGAAGTGTTCTTTTTTGTTTTGTTTTGTTTTCCCCTGATGGCTTTAATTCAGTGATAAGTGTACCATGATCAGAATGAACACACCAGGTTCTAATCCTTACTGCCTACTTGGTAAATATTCGAGACGTGTTCATTGTGCCAGGTAAAGTTCGGTTCTCATTATCCCTCAGGTCTCAGTTTTCTTCATCACACAGTGCTGCCAGGCCTTCATAATGTATCCGTTGGCAAATGAGCACACATCAACATCCATTTGTTTCACTCACCCCTTGGCATGGGTCATTGGTGATTTTCAGCACCAAAGGGTTAATTAAATGACAGCATCTCTTCTCCCAAAGATTTCTAATTTCTAACCAATATGTATAATATCAGAGCCTTATCAAGATTAAAAAAAAATACAGGAGAAAAAGTGCACGATTCTCATTGGCTTGTACAATCCTTGCACATGGGCTGAAATAAGCTGCATGCTGGCTACCTTGAGTAAGCTGGAGCTGCATTTGCTAGCGTGACATACAATCCCCATCACTAAAAAATAAATACTACCACAACATAAACAAAAAGATAGTCAAAAAAGGATAGTCAAAAGTTTTAACGTCTTAGAAAAAAAGAGATTCATGTAAAACTAAACAGAAAATCAAAACAAATAAGGCCAACACCTGTTTACCTTGGTGTACAAATTTTGGTGAAAAGCAGGATCATTATATCTGTCTACATTCTTCAGCCATCAGAGGTGATAAATATCAAGAAGGAAGAAAAGTTTCCGAGCACAGGGGAGAAAATGTTCTCAGGTATGAACTGTATCAGAGACCTCTCCGTGACCTTAATTCTGGTCTGCATGAGCCTTCATTTCTTGGTAGGACAACGTTCGTTTGTCCACAACTGCCCATGAAGTCTGGATGTCCATGTGTGATACAGGTTTCCTCTGTAGTAATTCAACAGGAATTAAAAATATATATATATGTCTGTGTATATATACATATATATATATAGATTTATCAACAGTTGTTCACTTCTTAAGCACTGATTAAGGAATTACAATCAGATCATAGTGATCTATCCCTACAGATTTGCTTCATTAACACTCTGCATATGCATATCACCACCCTTCCCCAATTGCTTAGAATCATACACTAAATCTTCTTAGTTTGATTAGTTTTAGATTTCTCTTATAGAAAGTTTAAAAATGTACCTAAAATCAGTATCTCTCTCAGCCTTCACTATTAGGGAAAAGAAAAACTAAATGATCTGAAAATGACAATGGGTGCACAAATCGACAATGATGGACTCATGACTTCCAAAGACTGTAAAATTACCTCTTAAAGTTGCTATAATAGTTAAGACAGTAGCAGCAACAGCATGAGACCTTAGACTGAGATACAATTTCATGCAAAAACAAAAAGTTGAGTGTGTTTGCATATATGTGGTGTTTTCATGTGGGTGAAAAAAGGTGGTCAGGGGTGAAGACCTCTGATTGGTCTGGGGCATCTGAAGGTGCTCCTGCTCTCTGTAAGAGCCAGGATTGGTGGTGATGTCCGGGAATCCTTTTCAGTCGTAAATCTAAGATGCCAGTAAAGTAGCAGAATGAAATGGGATTATTCGCGTCCACTTGCAGAGTAGGAAAACTGAGGGAAATGTGGCCGTCGCTCATTGTCCATGCAGTCCATGCCATCTTCATCATCTGTGGACAGGAAACAGCTACTTTAATTTGACATTTATTTAGGTCTATATTTTTCTAACAACTAGCGTAAGAAAGATTAATAGTGGCAATAGCGCCCATAAACTTGTGTTTATCAATCGAAATATGCAGCAATTACATTTTAAAATTTTTCTAATTTTTATAAACATGTAATCTTTGAGAAAAATAGCACTATCAAATCATTGCTTTCAAGACACTAAAATTTCAAGTCTTAATGAAATGGGGGAAAATAAATAATTGAAGAAAATAAGATTTTATTATAAGAAGGAACAAAACATCTCCAACAACTTTTAACTTTATGGAACAACAATTTATTAAAATTACAGAAGTCACAAATGCCAAGGCACCCGAAGTGTGAAATGTTTCCCAATGCTTTCATTTCGTGGTGCTATAGATACAAATCAAGGTGCTTAGGACCCCATTTAATTTGTGTCCTTGGACTGTGTTTTGTTTTGTGGGTTTTTTTTTTTTTTCGGATTTTACAGCCTACTGTCTTACATTCCTGGTGTGGTAGGAATGGAGTGCAGGATCAGCACTGTACTGCACTGCAAACTACAAGGTCGGCAGTTCAAACTCACCAGCAGCTCCTTGGAAGCCCTATACAGAGTCACTGTTGAGTTGGAACTGACTCGATAGCACTTAACAACATCAATTCAATATCTAATGTCTGTTTTAACTCCCTGTTACCAATTTTCTTAAAATAAAACTTAAAGCAGGGATAGAGGCTAAGTAAAAGAGGGAGTGATGTCAGCATCCAAGTACTCAGTTTAACAGGAAACAAAGAAGAAGACGACTTGAGGGGTTGAAAGAGAATGTTCCCAATGAAACTGGCTAGCTGGCTCCTCCTGTTCATTTTTTCTGTTTTCCTGCAGTTTAAAGATTACACATGATAGCCCGACCTTTCACAACAATTCTGCTGATTAATATCTTGCACTGTCAGGATGCCTTCCTTATATGTGGTCATTTGTTCAGTCCCTCGTCAACAAGGGCTCCTTGGACACAGCTCTGAGCAAAGCCCCTGCTGCCCCCCCCCCCCGCCCCAGGGCACACGTCCTCCTGTGGAGGGCCTCCTTCATACATCTCTCCTGTTCTACTCCAAGCTCATTGAAGTGTATGCTGTCTTTCAAATTCCTAACCTTCTTTTCTTCAAGCAAAAACTAAAAAATTCCAGTTCCTCTTGTATATCCAGGAAATATGAAAGTAAAAAAATTATTGCTACTAGGATTCCAGCTGATAAAATGCAATTTTATTCCAAACAAAACATATTTAACCATGTCTCTGTGATCAGTGCTAGTATGGCGCTATGGGTTTAATACTCTGGAATGCAAGTTTGGTTTGAACTGAAAAGGTTGGCGGTTCAAGCTCACCAGGCACTCCCTGGAAATCCTATACAGAATCGCTATGAGTCAGAACCAACTCGACGGCACTTAACAACAACAGTAACTGTGATCCGTGGATGGCTCCAGTTCTCTCAGTTATGCATATGTCTTATTCCCTAAAGGTGCCTTCAAAAAAGGTTTAATCAAAACACTGACTTCTCAGGGGATCTGCTGGGCCAGGCAAATTCAAGGCAGGAGAGTTAGCTGAGCAAGTATGGTGAGTCTTTTAGGACTCCCAAGGGGTCATACCTTGATAGATATTTTTTGATGGACACAGGATAATCATGGGGGCTTATTCAGAAAGAGTCTTAAGAAAATTGAAAACACCATTGGTGAGGAAAAGGCCAGTAAGTTGCATTGAGGAAAAGTTTTCCATTCCCATAATACACCAATGCACCTGCTTTTCCTTCGAGGTAGCAAGGGTGGTTCTAAAACAATTACATTAGGAAACCTTACTGTATCTACCCTCCAGCCCCAGTTTTTCCCCTTCAGACTTATTTATGTTCCTAAAACTCAATTATGTTCCTAAAACCAAATTGAAAAGAAACATGATTCAAGTCTCTCAAGGATGCTAAGATTGCCATTTTGATAAGGTGTAAATCATAGTGCAGAATTCTTTGTGGAAAGATTCTTGTTGTAAAGTGCCGTGGAGTTTCTGTGACCCTGTAGAGGGTTTCCAAGAGCAGAACACCTCATCTTCCTCCCACAGAGCGACTAGTGGATTTGAACTGCTAAAACCAATGCTCATCCTTCAGTGCCAACAGAACTCCATGGAGATAATCACCTTCAGAAGTGTATACATGTAAATAGAGAATATACCAAGAAAAAAATAGCTTCATATTTTGATATTTTTAACAAAAATGTCTATGATTTTATAAAAATACTCCTCGATGTATCCTTGTACATTATAAATATTTTAATTTTTCAGCTTCTCCATTGAGCATCAATCTCATGCAAAGGGAGAAAAAAAATGCGGGCCAGACGTGGCTCTACTGTAATGGTCCTGACATACAGCAAAGGGCAGTATAAGAAATGGACATTTATTTTATATTATTTTCTCTCATCATTGTTCTTTTGCTATTCTATGCTTAATATGAAAGTTTCTAAGAAACATGATGAAATTAAAACTATAGATTCTGTGCCCTCTAATACATTATAAAATAGCACTGAAGCAGGTGAGCATAAAGCATTCTGAGCATCTGCGGCTTCCTGCTCCTTCTGAATCACTGAGCTCTCTCCTCTACATGCAGACCACAGCAATGGCAGTGTATCTTGATCGTATTGAGTTTTAGGGAAATCTCTGTCTCATTACTGGTTATCTTTTAGATCAAATACCTTCCCCAGTATTTTTAGCTACACCAAAGGTGGTAAGAGGTGGGGAAGGGTGGAATATCAGTTGTTGAGTCACAGCATATAAAAATTCTCTAGAAATCTAGAAAAGGCAGCTCAAGTCTTTAATGTTCAGATTCTGACATGTGTCAATTACATTTAAAGAAACAGTTTTCCCCATTAACAGCTTTGTTTTGTTGAGTGTGTTTCTGTAATGCAAACGTGGACAGTGCATGTGGGGAACCTGGTGCTGGTTCTTGTTGTGGGTCAGCCAGCGGGAGGGACGCTGCCCAGGCCCCTGGTCATGGCCTGGCCCTCAGCCCAGCCAGCCTCTTGGCAGGGGCAGTATTTTGGATTTCCTTTAGGAGGAGGAGTATTGATTACTTTAAGGCAGCTGAAAATTAAGTGTTTTCATACTGTCAGCAACAAATTAATCACATAACTGAATATTTTTAAAAATCTAAATTCATAAACATTTGAAGACCCCACACCTTGATATTTTTTTTTCAAAGCCAATATATCATTCTGTCACTTTAGCTCTCTGCTTTTATTTCTTTTTTTCTCAATTATAATGAGGGCTAAAAATAGCATCCTTATCCAAAATGTCCCCATGCTCCTGCTAGAGGCACTGGGACAGGTCCCCTGCAAGTTCCTCTGGGCCACAGGCCCCCAGAAGATCAGGGTGGGGGGTGACTATTGTGAGTGACACGTGAGTCTGCGTGGGGGACCGGAGCACATCACACCCATCACCATCCCTGCTCAGGAAGGATGCTCACAGAGAACAGTGGTGACAATGAAGAGAACGCTGTTCAAAACATATCTGGAAAAAGAAAACACTATGCCTGAACCCCCCAGTCAAGTAGCATCAATTATCCACTTTCCTTAGCACATTTAACAAATTGTAATTACATGGCAGTAAAGCTACCAGATCTCAAAGAAATCCTATTTTTCTGTAAGAGGAAGGCAGAGGACCATTAATGGATATAACACAACATATTCCAAAATCAGTTCAATTAATTAACACCAGTGAGGACAATCTGGCATGTTACTGCAGCTGTTTGTAGAAAATGGAACATTTTGCCTTCATAACTGCTGATTTGTTCTAAAAAAAAACCAAACCAAAAAAAAAACACAAAAAGCAACAACTCTCCATTCTGTTTTATAAAAGCAAGGTGGCAAGTGGGAAGACAATTGCTAACTAATGTTACTACTGTGGACTTTTATGAACAAAACCTCTGTGCATTAGCAGTTAGAGCACTACAACGGTTTCTTGCTAGCATCATGATTCAAACTGCAAGAAGGAAAGATTATGTTAGGTGTAATCACAGTTCAGGGTTTCACTGATTCTCCTTTTATCTGCACCTTCCAGGAATCTAGGATATCTCTACCGGCCGTCAAACTCAAAACATGGCTCCTTTGACCAAAGGGAAGCCAGGAGCTTGAATTAATTAATTAATGGAATCACTGGAGCCATTCTCCTACAACCGAGCACTCAGATCTGAGCGAGCTGCAGAGGCGGGGGATGCATTTCCACTGGGTGGGCTGCTGGCCACCGGATGGGGTGGACTGTACCTGTTGCTGCCAGTCTCACACACAGCACTCAGCTCTTCTATCTAGTTGCCATATCCTGTGGACTATGGTATGCATACTGCTGGACACTCAGGCTTCTGCCACAGGTCTACAACTGTAGCCACCATGGGAATACCTACCATGGAAAGCCCTACAATGTAGAGGTTTCCTAGTGAAGTTCTTGGGTGACATAAACACCTAAGCGCTGGGTTGCTAACCAGAAGGTTAGTGGTTCAAACCCATCCAAAGATACCTCAGAAGAAAGCCCTGAAGATCTGCTTCTGAAAGCCCAGCCACTGAAATCCCCTGGTGCACAGTTCTACTCTGCACATGTGGCTCACCATGGATTGGAGTCATGTGTCGTGCGCATTTTCCTATGGCTCCTGTGCTGTTCTCATGAGCATATGCAATGCTGCCCCAGATCTAAATTGCATCTACTTTATTAAAGAACAGAATTGAAGTGAGTGGTAAAATGGAGATACCAGGAAGACTTTTATGAATGGCTTCTATACTGTTGATGAAGACAACTCAGGAACTAGGTTTAAAATGTGTTTTTCAAAGACCCTCTAAACTCTTCTAACAACCTTGCCCTTAGATGTTCTAGAAACAGCAGTGAAATGTGTTCATGACGAACTCACATCATGACAACTGGTATAAAAGTTTGGAGTGAGAGATAAGGCAAGTAGGATTAGTCCATGGATTCTGGTCATGGATAGCTAGTTTGAAATTCAAGTCAATCATGAAAACATAACTAACAACGGATATATATATGTAGGTACTTCAAAAAGTTTGTAGAAAAATGGAATTGAAAGATAGAGGAATTGTTCCATGAACTTTTGAAGTCTTGTATATTAATGGCTTTAATGTAACTTATTTGTGATCAAATTAGATTTGCTAAGTGTCTCCCAGTGGTCTTTCTCATCTTGTATTTTCTCACATTGCATTTCAGTCTCTCCTTTAACCTCCTTTGCCCGCTCCTCTCAGCTGAACCCATCTTCACCTTTCAATGGCTTCTCAGGTGCACAGAGGTAGAAGGCTGGAAGGTCATGCTCCTCAGTTTACTGGTGAGGGAAATCTGGCTGCAGAGGGCAGTAACTGCCCATGGTCCCTGACCTAGGGACTACTGGACTGAGTCTAGCACTTTCTCAACTTCACTTTAACCCCCAAATTAAGATTTCACTTTTTAGTTTCTGAAGTAAAATGTCTACCTATGGCTTTGGATTTATAGAGTGATTTATTTCTATGACCTCCAAAATGACATTATCTAGTTGCCTAAAGAGTTCACAAATGCCAAAACTAAAGAAGGAAAACTGGCTAAAAGTGGATGAGGCACAAGACAGAGATCTGCTGGGGCCTGGTTTTCTTGATGCCCTCCTCCGTGGAAAGTGAGTGGGTGTAAGCAAGCCCCTGGCTCCAAAGGACACCTGTGAGTTAGGCCTCCTCTGACCTTCATCACTCATCTTAATAGGTATTTAATGCAAACCTATAATGGGCTAGGCACCTAGTTAGGAACTCTGGCTATCAGTAAGCCAAACCTCAGAATAAAGGTCTGGAGAGCTGCTTCCAAAAATCCAGGCATTAAAAACTCTGGCACAGTTCTACTCTGCATATACAGGCTCGCCATCATTTGGAGTCCTATATTGTGTGTGTGTGTCTTTCTATACACCCCTGTCTCAACGCAGAAGTGGTCGCTTCTTTCGAGAATTGTGTTCTAGTGGCAGAAGCAGATAATAAACAAAAACACAAGTTAACCAGAAAGAATCAGCAGGTAGATGTGTAATTTGAAGTATATTTTTAGCTATCAAAATATCACCCTAAATCTCAATCTTCACCCTCCTTCCAAACTAAGACTTGAAGGTTGGCAGGCATGGTATTGGATTTCCCAGGTGGCACTATAAATGTAGACCTTTGAGAACAACACTTGTTAACATATGAGAATTTTGTGAACTACATTTGTTGACATTTTTCTTCCATTAGCGTGTACTTTAGACTATTTCTTAAACTGAGGGACACACACTGTTGTTGTCAGGTGCCATTGAGTCATTTCTGACTCATAGTGACTAATGGGTAGTAGGGTTTCTGAGGCTGCCATCTTTATGGGAACAGAAAACCTGATTTTTCTCCCAAAGAGTAGCTGATGGGTCTGAACTGCAGACCTTGTAGTTAGCAGTTCAGTGCTTATCCTACTACTCCACCAGAGCTGGTGGGACACAGACTAGTATACATGAAATGAATGTAAATGGTACATGAAAATATAGTTTAACAGGTATGTAATTTAATTTTTAAACACACACACACATAAACACAAACACACACAAGGGTAAGTCAGAAAGTATTGCTACTAGGGTTCCAGCTCATATATGCATGGGCTTATTCAAAACAAGTGTGTTTAGACGCATTTCTGTGATCAACATATGGCTACAGACAAGTTCTCTCAGTAGTATACTTGTCTCTGGCTCGTTAGAATGCCTCTAAGAACAAAGGTCCAATGAAAACAATGGCTTCTGAGGGCATCTGCTTGTTCTTGGTGTGTGTCGCTGTGACTTACAACAATACTGTACAGGGGTTCTGAGAGCAACTAGTTGGTCTAAACTGCCAGCCTAGTGGTTAGCAGTCCAGCACTTTTCCTACAGTGTCACACAAGGACTCGAGGGGATCTGCTGGGCCAGCAAAGTCAAAACTGTGGGTTTTTTTGGGGGGGCGGCATAAGGAATAATCTTGAGAGATTGTCTCAAAGGACACAGAATAATCGTAAAGGATTATTAGGGGAAAAAGTTTTAAGAAAATTGAAAATTACATTGGTTTTTCCTGAATTAAAATTTATAAACAGCATCTTTGGCCAGGAAAGCTGCACTGAGGAATTTTTTTTTTTCATCACAACAATGTACCTGCTCATTCTCTGAGGGTAGCAAGGGCTGTACTCTGAGCATTTAGTTAAGAAACCTTATACCATCTACCCTATGGCCCTGGCTCTTATTCCTTCAGACTTCTTTTTGTTCCTAAAACTCCTCAAATAATACTTAAAAGGAAAACAATTGGAGTCCCTTGAGGATGCAAAAACTATCATTTTGATGTGGTGTCAAATGAAGAGCATGGAACTCTTAGGGGAAGGGTTGGGGAGCTATGACTTTAGAAGGTACAGACCTACTAGATTATGTTGAGAAGCAATAGCTTCACATTTTGATATTTCTATTTAATAAGAGTTTCTGTGATTTTGTAGCAATACTTTATGTCTTACCCTCATATGTAAAAAATAAAAAATACTAGCAAAAATGATGACTTCACAGATACTATTAAGACAAAGCAAAATTAAAAAATTAAGTCAATTTAAAGTGAATTGGAAAACTGGTAAGCAATTTGCTGTTGTTAAGTGCTGTTGAGTCAGTGCTGGCCCACAGCGACCCAGTATAGGGTTTCCAAGGAGAAGCTAGTGAGCTTAAATCACCAATCTTGCGGTTCAAATCAACTGTGCATTTGCAGTTCAGCACATTTGCCAAAATTCATAGGGGTGGCATGTGAGTGTGCAAAGTCAGGGAAACATGAGAAGTCTTTTCAGTTGATATGAAAAAAACAATATATTGGAAAGCAGAAAGAAAGGGCTAATGAGACTACATCAGGCTACAATCCCTCCCTGTAATATTTCCTATGCAGAGGTGCTTTTTTATCAAGCTACTTGTCTTTTGATACTTTTACACATTGGAGTGAGTAAGTCACTGTGGAATTTCATTTGGAAACTATCAATGATTTTTTAAATGATGGATTTCTTTAATTACATTAGAAAGTCTTGCATTGTACTTACATTTTTCAGGTGGTGTTATTGTAATTGTCTGGGCTGTAAATTCTTCATCAAAGTATCTGGTATCTGTCTCAGATGTTACTTGAGGTTTAAAAGGAGGTACAAGCTATAGGAAAAAGAAGAAAGGTATTGTTAAAAGATTTTAACTCAGGAAAATCCTTATCCACTGCCATCGAGTCAATTCCAACTCACAGCAACCTGGCATAGGGCTTCTGAGACAGCACATCTTCCCCGGCAGATTGACTGGTGAAGCTGAACTGCCACAATGTTAGCAGTCCAGTGCTTAACCTGCTGTGCCACTAAATTCAAGTTCCTTGGAAAATACATACCAAGTATAAAATTGGAGAGAAAGAGAAATAAATCAACATTGAAACAGTCTAGAAGGCTAACAGATGTGGTACTGTCCTTTCCAGCCAGCAGTCTACATACAGACCAGTGGGTACTTGAGAGATTACGTAAAACAGAGCAAGAAAGAACAGAGTGGGAGGAGGATGTTCAGAAGTCTGTCCTGACTTTTCCGCATAACAAACACACATACAAAACCATATGGATGTAGACCTCTGCAACAAAACGTGGGCTCTTCCTAGTGCATAAGAGCACATTCCTGCTGGCTTTTCCTTTCCTGGTGACTACTGCTAAGTAGCTTATTAAAAGTACAATACAGTTAGTTACTGCAGATAGAGTGCTGTCTCTGTACTTCACAAAGACCTGTAATTATTTGACTTGAAAGGTGGAAGTCAATGCTTGCCCCTGCCCGGGTATGGGATTTTTGGCAGCCCCTGACTTGCATGAAATGCACATGCTTTGTCTATAGCACAGCATCAGATCCTCAAAGGGGGCCATGATCCCTAAGGAATGACTCTGGAATTTGGAATAGCTGAACTCACTGCCTTAAAGCTGCAATAGGCATGGGGGTGGGAGGGAGAGGTTGTGGAAGCCTGAGTCAGGAAAATCTCCCCTTCACAAACCAGCCAGGGGGATGCAGGAGCCGGGGTAGGGGTTCCCCTTTCTAGGGTGCAGGCCTTGAGGGGTAGGTGGATACTGTGGGCTTCCTTTTAAGTCAGGAAGCCCAGTCTCAGGGCCTAGAGTGATTACATACTCTGAAGAGGACATTCAGGACAGAAGACACCATTTTTGGAAGAAAATTCTCATGTGGATATGAAAACAGAAAATAGAATGACAGAAATTAGTATGTTTTATAAAAACTTTACTGAAACAAAAACACACAATTGGCTTTAGATCAATGCATTTTCCCACTCTTACTGTCACCAAATTTATGTTAAATAATTAGGCAAAAATCTTTAAATTAGTCTCTAAACAGACCATGTTTTTAAAAATTGGAGAATGAGTGCAGTTAAAAGCATGTTTTCAAAATACAGGGCCACATTGCAGTTTATGGCACATGTTATAAAGCACTTTCATCTCTCTCTCTCTCTTTTTTTTTAAATCATCTTTTTTCTGCTCTCCCCTAATACACAGCTATTCTAAAGTCTCCAGAAACAGCAAGTACTCTTTGGGGACCAAACTAAATTCAAGTTCCATTTACCATTAGAATTAAGTACTACAGAGTAATATGGCTCTCCTCTTGACACCCTTTAGTCCCTGGAACAAACTCCTCCACCAGCGTTTAATAGAAACCTTCTATTATGCCCAAACCTAATTCTCTCAAGCTCTTCTGTTAGGGTGACTTGACAAAAGCAAGCAGTTCACTCCACTGTTGGAAATCTTTTCTCTTCCATTCAGAAATAAGGACATTCTCATTACCGACACTGTGTGTGCGCACACAAAACAAAACCATCAAAGGTGATGTGTATACTGAGACATATTTGGTTTTATTTTTGGAAACCTGAGCAGTAACTACCCCTACACCTGGCAGGAAATCAGGCAACTGTGATGCTGGTTGTGATTTTCCTCCTGTGTCAACATTTCATCAATGTTACATTGTTCCACTCCAACAATTAACTTATGTGGTAGATACTCTAGTCAGACCCTCTGCAACAAAGACATGAGAAGCCAAGTGAAATGATTACAGACAACTGTCCTGGAACCCAGAGTCTCAAAGGAAGGATAAGGAAGTAGATTAAATACTGATTAGAGGTAGAGATTGGGAGAAAACAGTGAATGAGGAGGCATAAAGAATTATGAACTGCCAACAGCCCATGCAAAGCGTGGCCATTTCAAATTATTTCAAGTAGCTTTCTGTTTGGGCAGGAAGTAGATAATCACCTCCACTTGTCCAGGCCTACACCCACACCCACATCAAGGACCTGGTCGTTGAAAAGAGAGGTGCGACTGCCTCCCTCGATCCCCACTCATCTTCTGGTGGCCACAGTATACACCCCCTTCCCCAGCAACCAGCCAAACCTTTCCTACTGCTAGTGTTGTACCACTTCATATCTTTTCCTTTTTTGTTTTTGGCAGTTTTTTCCTCTTCTCCTTCTCTTTTTTGCCTTTCCCAAATATGATGGATACAGAAATTAAGGGCATTTGCAGAAACCAGAACAAGATGAAAATAAGCGAGGCCTTTGGACAGAACCAACAATGGCAGACAACAATTTGAGATTAAGATGCAAAGCACCACAGAGAAATCAACCCAGATACACCCTCCTGCTGCCATCAAGTTGATTCTGACTCAGTGACCCCAGATAGGGTTTTCAAGGCTATTAATCTCTATGGGAGCAGAAAGGCTCATTTTTTCTCCTGTGAAGAGGCTTGTGGCTTGAGGCTTGAGCTTCTGATCTTGTGATTAATAGTCCAGTTTCATCCTACAGAACCACCAACACTCCTTAACCCAGATACAAAAGTATCAAAAATATGCACAGTACAAGATTGAAAATAGGGAGCCAGAGACATGAATTTGTAAGTGGTGACAGCTACAAAACAGGAAGAAGGAATATACAATGGTCAGGACTATATCAAAGATTGTTTTAAACCGGGGAAGATAATAATAAATCAAGGAAAATGAATAAACCTCACCCAAATGAAAAAGGAAATCATAAAGATTCAGTAAACATGAAAACAACAGCAATACAGGAAATAAGACTATCCATAAACAAAATGAACTCAGCACAGAAAAATATATGGAACAAAGAACTGTCTCCATGATACACACACAGACACACACAAGAAAAGCAAAACAGAACAAAAACCCACACACAGAGCAACTGACAACAGGAGAAACGTGCCTATTGGTAATGATGCTGAATGAAAGTGGATGAAATTAACCAGTCAAGAGAAAAGAGGATAGCTGAGTGGCTAAGAAACTATGAGCCATCAATATGCTGTCTACAAGAGGTACATATGAGATACAAAGACAAAAATAAGCTGAAAATAAAAAGATGGGGAAATGGCATGTTCCATGGCAACCAAAAAACCGTAGAAGTAGCATTATTAATTTCTGATAAAATAAACTTTAAGGCAAAAATTAGCAAAAGAGAGAAGTTCATTCTATGATGATTAAAGGGCCTATGCAGCAAGAACATACCGTAATAATATCTATGCAGCCAATGAAATAGGTGCTAAATATAAAAAAAGAATTTCAACAGGCTTGAAAGGAGAAATAGACAACTCTACAATAACAGTTGTTGTTAAGTGCCGCAGAGTCCGTTCCAATTTATCGTGATCCTGTATAGGGTTTCTGAGGAGCGGCTGGTGGGTTTGAACTGTAGACCTTGAGGCTCAAACTGACCTTGCAGTCCAGTACATTATCCTGTAGTGCCAAATGAGACACTAATACACCATTCTTAAGAAAGAACAAAACAACTAGAAAGAAACTCAACAAAGATACAGACGATCTCAATAACACAATCAACCAACTTGACCTCACAGACATACAGAGCACTCTACCCAACAACAGCACATTACACATTCTTCTCCAGTGCACATGGTGTATTCTCCAGAACAGACCATATGTTAGGCCACAAAGCAAGCCTCAATACATTTGAAACTTCGAAATACTATAAATCATGTTCTCAGATCACAATACTATAAAGTAAAAAAACAAGAACAGTAAGATCAAGGAAAAAATCAAATACACAGAAATGGAATAAAAGCTGCATCAAAACTACTTGGTAGTAGTTGTTGTTGTGCCTTCCGGTTGGTTCTGACTCACAGTGACCCTGTATAGGGTTTCTAAGGAGCAACTAGTATGTCTGAATCACTGCATTAACTTGTAGTGCCACACCATGACTCCTACTTGGTTGTTGTTGTTAAGTGCCATCTAGTTGGTTCTGATTCATAGCAACCCTGTATAGGGTTCTCAAGGAGTGGCTGGTGACCTGAACCTCTGACCTTGCAGTTCAAATTGACCTTGCGATCCAGTGCTTTATCCCACAGAGCCACAACAGAACTCAAGAGAAATAGAAAAGTTAATAAAAAAAATTTCTTGACTCAAATGAGAATGAAAACACCATGTACCAAAACCTACGGGACACAGCAAAAGCAGTGCTCAGAGTATAATTTACAGGAGCAAACACACACATCAAAAAAGAAGAAAGAAGCATAATCAAAACCAGTATCTCCAACAATTAGAAAAAAGCCAGCAAAGAAGCTGACAGTCACCAGAAGAAACGAAATAACAAAGATTTAAAGAAAACAAAACAAATAGAATCAACAAGTTTAGAAATTAGTTTTTTGAAAGGATTAATAATTCGAGAAACCCCCGAAAATTTTAACAAAGAAAAGGAAAAGATGGAAATAACCTGCGTAAGAACTGAAATGAGTGAAGGCACAACAGAAATGAAATACACTACACCTTCCCAAACTAACACAATCTGAAGTAGAAAATTGGAACAGACCCATAAGTCCTGGTGTGGCGCTGTGGGTTAATGTCCCAGGCTGCAAAGTCAGGTTGAACTGCAAGGTCGGTGGTTCAAGCTCACCAGCTGCTCCTTGGAAACCCTACACAGGGTAGTTATGGGTCAGAAACGATTCGATGGCACTTAACAACAACAATAAGAGAAGAAGAAGCTAAACAAGTCATTAAAAAACAAAACAAAAAAACTCCCAGCAAAACAAATTCTTGACTCAGAGGGCTTCTCGAATAATTTCTAGCAAACATCCAGAGAAAAGCTGATACCAATTCTACTCAAACTATACCAGAATACA